CAAAATTTAGTGCATTTAAATGCGCATAATAGGGTAAAGTCGCCCATATTGAACCGGCTCCCAAATTGAACCATTAATATTTTGTTAAGACGCGATTCAACTAGCGACATCTATAAGTGTAACCCTTAAAGAGCATCAATGGCCGAGCTAAGTTCGCCTGTAGCACGCGGAAAAAGATTTATACTTGTGTCAACTTGGGCAACGAAAGGTATTCGTTAAAGTAGGAGTAATAATTTGTGTTCTTACCTAAGCGGATTTAACGACTCCAAACAAAGGTAGGGTAATACTGATTATTGTATAAAACAGAGTCAAGTTTGCGGCATTTTTGATACCATTGGTAGTTTGATTCACAATAATACGTTTGCAATTTTTAGGGTATATATCAGTCAATATTAAGTTGCTTAGATTGAACCAAGAAGAGTATCCCAATTTGAACAGAGGTTCAATTTGGGAAACTATGGTACTAATGCTACAAAGAATCCTCAGGAAACCATCTGGCCACTCAACACCAATAAAACAACTAAATCTAGATTCATCTGTGGCTTCCACTTCTTCCAGTTTTCTTTCCGTCAGCTTACAAGATATCGCTCCCTTGCCAATTCCCGAAAAAGAAAATTTCAGCAAAAGAAAAAGAGGCATCCAGAAAGCTGTGGAAATTACCAGTACCCCTTATAAAGCATCTCTTGAAGCAACAGCGGAAAAGCGGAAACCGAAAAAAGTACCATTGAAAGGGCTGCAGTCGGTATCAAGGTCCAAATTTGTTCCTAAGCCAGAAAAGACGACAATTATTGGTGAATGGTTGTGTAAGGAGTGTAAGCAAACAGAACGCAAAGCTATGATTTAATGCATGCGATGCAAAACCTAGTTTTATTGCGAATGTGTCGGTGTCAACTTAAAGAAAAAAATATCATTTTGTGTTACCTGCTGTGAATAAACATTCTTAACGAAAATTTAAAGTTATGTTTCTTTGTTACTTCAAAAAATGTATTTCACTATTTAAATCTTTAGTTACTGTTAAGTGTTTTTGTACTTTTATATGTTGTGTTAATTAAGAATAAAGTCTGTTTTCATACTGGTTCTAAAATTATTTTTATTTTATTGAATATTTTTTTAAGGTTCAATTTGGAATACTGGTGGTTCAATTTGAGCAACTCGTTGCCCATATTGAACCATTTGCATCACTAAATATATTTTTCACTTGCTTCCTTAATAACTATTATAACTACTTTTCCTCTCAGTATTAGTTGCTTATAGGACAGTAAATATTGTTGCAAAATTACAATCAATTACCTCTGTTATGCAAGGACCTATCGGAAATTTTGTAAAAATTGGTTCAATATGGGCAACCTTACCCTATGTCTTTTTGTCTGCATTTTTTCCTTGCCTTATTCATAATATTTGTAATATGTAGGATGTAGATATAGAAAATCTTCCAGGTGTTAAGTAAGTATAGTTTTTTTTTATTCTGGAATAAAGTAATTTATACTAGTTAAAGTTACCTCTAAAATGAATAAAATAAAACTAAAAATTTAAGGATAGTTCAATTAATAAACCCAGTTGAGTTTGCTGCAAAAACTTGTCTAAGATTATATTTTTCATTCTATAGTTGGTTTAGTAAAACCAAAAAAAACTGTAGTACATCATTAATCATTCTCATATTACTTATTACTATTTTATTAGAAACAAAATGTCGAAAATACTTTTCAATTTTTTTTCTGCTAATTGACAGTCTCATTGACTTACTGAGTTTTCCGATTATACCTACGATGATACTAAAAGACTAAAATAAAAAATTAAAATAAATGTTGTAGAATAATAACAATAACCAAGCGCTCTATTAGATAAAATAGACATGATCGATGATCGGTAGGATTATTTGGAAATGTCCAAAAAAATAATACATACAACTGGTTTTTACATTTAAAATCTGTTATAGAAAAATAAAGAAATTAAAAATTTTAATTTATAAAATACTAAAACCACACATCAATTTCTAGGTATATACAGGGTGTTTCAAAACAAATGCGAAAAACTTCAGGGGGTGATTCCTTGTTCAAAATAAAGGGTAGTTTGCTTCATAAGCGTTGGGTCAAAAGTTAACCATTAGGGAGATATCGCGGTACAAAAATGGCGGAAAAATAATGTTTTTATTTTTTATCTTGAAAACGAAAAGAGATGACTAATGAAATTTTATGGAAGCATTACTGTTATGAAAACACACTTTCAGGTAATTTTTTTATTTTTTTAAAATAGTGGAAGGGGTTGACATAAACTACCCCTATCATTCTTGTTAACGAAATTTAAAGAAAAATCTTATCAAACACATGCAAATGCTTTAATTTGGATAGTTTAGTTTGTTTAGAAACTTTTTTACTTCTTGTGTTTTTTTGATAAAACTCACCGATTGGAAATTAAAAAATAAAATGTAAAGCATTACATGTCAGGACAAAAAACATTTTTAGATTAAGAATCTAGTGATAATAACGATAATAATAATCATCTAGATAATAACGTATTGCAGTAGAGTAATGGTCAAATAAAATAATATTAGGAACATCCTAAAAGTAACAGCGGCCGACTAGATTTTTTCCTAAAAAATTACAGCAGCCCACTAGATTCTTTATCAGAAAATGTTTTTGTCCTGACATGTAATGCTTTACATTTATTTTTTAATTTCAAATCGGTGAGTTTTATCAAAAAATACAAGAGATAAAAAAGTTTCTAAACAAACTAAGCTATCCAAATTAATTTTTTTGCATGTGTTTGATAAGATTTTTCTTTAAATTTCGTTAACAAGAATGATAGGGGTAGTTTATTTCAACCCCTTCCACTCATTTTAAAAAAGTGAGAAAATTACCAGAAAGTGTGTTTTCATAACAGTAATGCTCCCATAAAATTTCATTAGTCTATCTCTTTTCGTTTTCAAGATAAAAAATAAAAACATTATTTTTCCGCCTTTGTACCGCGGTATCTCCCTAATGGTTGACTTTTGACCCAACGTCTATAAAGCAAACTACCCTTTATTTTGAACAAGGAATCACCCCCTGAAGTTTTTCGCATTTGTTTTGAAACACCCTGTATACAGTATATCCCCGGATTGTCTTTACAACAGGGAACACTTTTTTATTATTGACATTTTGAGAAAAATGCATTCTTCATAAAAAAATTTGCTGTTAAATGGTTAATCTCGTTTATACTGTTCCAAATTTATACCGTTTTAGAGAAAGTTAGAAAAAACATGAAAATGACTTAGATACCTAATATATAGTCTGTCCAACGAGAAGATCCTTGACAGTGATAGATGTGTCTGTCATTTTAATTTCAAAGTAGTTTATTTTATTTTACAAAGAAATAAGTTGGTACAACTGGATAGCAGGATATATTTAAAATTTGATTGACAAGATGACAAGTGATTACTTCAAAATATTGTGAAAAAAACTGTATAAAACTGAAAAAATGTAATCAAGTTATTTTATTTAATAAAAACGGTATGTATTAATACAAAACAAACAAGACCACTACATACCAAAAAAATATAAAAAAGAACTATTATTTACTTTCAAGCTTTATGAAACTACCCGCATTTATGATTATATTTATCAATATAACTTATGTACAAATACAAATTTGTAATATTCCACAGGAATAAATAAAACAACATAGGTAAATAAAACAAACTATTTTATTAATAATAACACCTACCAAATTTTATACCTTAAAGGTTGATTAATTAACTTTAATCTTAATTTTTTTAAACCAGTACCTTTTGCCATTATTTTTCTGCAGTACTAAAATCCATTATTTACCTATCGTGTGATGTCGATATTCTACAGCTACTCCAGTTTTTAGTATGTGTTTCGTTTGATCCTTCTACCATATACGGGATGCACTTATCTACGACGAAATGGTATACAAACTTTATCGATGGCAACTTCATTGGTGTATAAGACTTTCTACCTGGGCAGCGAGTATTAACCATAAACTGTGCTCTGGGTCTACAGTTAATTTTCACTCGATTTTTCCTCCACTTGACTTCAAAAGACACAAAACACACTTAATAATACGAATCAAAATGCATCATCTTCCAAAACGCAGGGTATTTAACAAAAGTTGACACAAAATTATAACCTATAATTTGGCAAGACTTAACCAATAAAATTGAAATACGATCTGTCATTTTTTAAATAAGCCAATAAAACTGGTTAAAAACAACAAGACACGACGTATGACGGATTTATATTTAAACCCATCCATAGATAACTTAAAAATTATTAGAAACTTTTTTTAGTAAAATAAATAGATTGGTATGGGACGTCATCTGCTTTTCTTCTGTCATCGTCTGTCGAAATCTTACCTGAGAAAAAAAACAGAGTATACATCCCTAAGACTGTAGTTTCCAGACTAGATGCGGCCAAAAAAAATTAATGCGCATTCTTCTACATAATAATAAGTTAATAAGTTGATTTGCATAAAAAATTCAAGGCAGTTTAGAAAACCTACCTACTTAGTATCAGTATCGATCTCCTGTCAAACTATAAAGATTCAATTTTTCATACAAAATTAAAGGTGAAACTGTGAGAACGCAGCCGATGCCTTTGCATAATGATAATGAACAAAAGCAATCACATTTTTGGCAAAAAATGCCCAATATTCCGATCGGGCGGTTAGCAAAAAAGCCGCAACTGCAACTTTCCAAAGGATGCGAGACTAGAGAGCCAGCCGTTCCTTTCACCGAGCGGTCAGCGTCTCTTCGTCGAATGCCGCTCCGAAAAAAATTCGAAAAAAGTCCTGGTTGTTTGTCTCATCCAAAAACGCAAAACCGCCCTCGGTCGGGAAGGGGCAAAGTAGCCTCGTGCAACTTAAAAATGCCGCCGTGGGCCGTCGAATCGATACGAGGCTAGGCCATCACGTGGTGCGCGCGCCAACCAATAGCCGCAGAACCGCGACGACGACGGAGCCACATGCCGCTCCAACATCAGTTTGAAACGTAGTTCCGCGGTGTAAAGGCCGCGTCGCCGTGCTCTGCATTATCTCGCTCGCGATGATGAGATAGGGTTCGAAGTGAGTGACCATGGAAGACCCCACGCAAGTGCTCTACACGGAGCTACCGGTGCCGCTGCTGTCTACGGCCGCCATCTTGCGGCACCAACGGCAATCGCCCCGCTTCCAACCATACCAACGGCTTCACCAACCTCAAATCTACCACAACAATTCGGTACACGAAGAATATTTGCGGTTGCACTCCGCCTACAAAGAACAGGTGAGCCCCGTGGATCAGGGCAAGACGCATATTTCTTGCCTGTACCCGGAGATTCTGTCCATTATATTCAGTTATTTGGATGTGAGAGATAAAGGCAGAGTCGCCCAAGTGTGCACCGCCTGGCGAGACGCGGCCTACCAGAAGTCGGTATGGCGCGGCGTGGTGGCCAAGCTGCACCTGCGACGTGCCAACCCGTCCCTGTTCACGTCTCTCGTTAAGCGCGGGATCAAGAAAGTTCAGGTACTGTCACTTAGGCGGTCCCTACGAGATGTCGTCCAAGGTATTCCCAATCTAGAGTCGCTCAACTTCAGCGGCTGCTACAACATCAAAGATGATGGTATCTCGCAAGCTTTCGGCTCCGAGGTTCCGACCTTGACCGAACTGAATCTATCGTTATGCAAACAGGTTACCGATAATTCCTTAGGGAGGATCGTTCAGTATTTGAAAAATCTCGAAGTTCTAGAACTGGGCGGTTGCACACACATTACCAACACCGGGCTTTTACTCATCGGCTGGGGCTTTACAAAACTCAAGAGACTGAATTTGCGTTCCTGCTGGCAGGTCAGCGACCAAGGCATCAACCATCTAGCCCAGGGTAACCTAGAGCTGGAGCATTTAAGTCTTCAAGACTGCCAACGACTGTCGGACGAAGCCCTCAAATTTGCTACCGGACTTACGTGTCTAAAATCACTGAACCTTAGTTTCTGTATCGGTATAACAGATAGTGGACTAAAACATTTAGCTAGAATGAATACTCTGCAAGAGTTGAACCTTCGGTCTTGTGATAATATTTCGGACATCGGCATGGCGTACTTGTCGGAAGGCGGGTCGAGAATAATATCCTTGGATGTGTCGTTCTGTGACAAAATCGGTGATCAGGCGTTAGTTCATGTTTCTCAAGGACTCTATAATTTGAAATGTTTGTCGCTTAGTGCTTGTCAGATATCAGACGAGGGTCTGGGAAAGATTTCCAGCACCCTACACGATCTAGAAACTTTGAATATTGGACAGTGTGCAAGGATCACCGACAACGGCATCACAACTTTAGCTGAATCCCTTACCAGGCTGCGGTACATTGATCTTTACGGCTGTACCAAGATAACCACTTTAGGATTACAGAAGGTTATGAAACTTCCACAACTAAGTATTCTTAACTTAGGTTTGTGGCATATTAGGTGAAAATAATTACTTAGACGTGTAGGAATTCTCGCATGTAATATGCGACCTTTTTAGTATGTTTGTTTTACTGTTGTCTGTCTGTCCATTCTTAGGATTTGCGCTCAAACGACAAAAAATGTCGCATTATATAGTCAACGATTCAAATGTCATTAGGTTAACATTCCACAGCTTTTATGTTTGGGAGTTCATTCTTATTCGATACATCTCTAAGAATGCATTAAATGTGTTAATGACTCGGTTTACTGGATCAAAAATTATGTTTATTGCCACATCATTGATTTAAATTAAGTTCATTTAAATAGAAATATACTTTTCTTATTCCACGTCTCGTTCTTCGTTTAATTTGATTTTGATGTAAAATAAAATAGTTTTACTTTGTGTTGTATATAACACAACTTGTAAATGAAGAATGTAATATTAGGTAGGTACCTAAAATTTGAAATACATATAGGTAGGTACGAATACCTAATATTTGATATCAAGTTTCAAATGCTATTTACACATCGAATATTTTTAAATAAATTTTTATTTTTCTAAAGAATTATAAAATGACTGGTCTGTTGTTTAACTTTGTTAAAAATATAGCAACCAAACACATTTTTCTTATTCAGTACCTGTTACAGGAGAATTTCTAGTAGGAATTCTGTGAAGGGGGCAATAAATCATGCGTGAAAGAGGGGCTGCAAAATCATCCCTTTTTATTGTAAACAATCTAAACGAATGATAGGCACAATATCCTAAGGTACCACCCTTCGGTACTTTTATAAAAATGAGTAAATGCAAATATCCCACTATTCTTCTCTGGCATGTTTTATTGCCCTTCTGTCTTTTTATTATACCTCTACTATAAATTCCATGATATAAAATCTAAAAGCCCAAAAGTTTTCAAGTAAAATATAATCTAATCCAAAAAAGTAATTTTAACTAAAGTTTAAACACATGCATATAACGACTTATTAAAGTGTTAGCATTTGATTTGGTTCCAGTTTTAACAGGATTTGACTTTTTTCATTTATTTTTTATTTCTATAAATGTTATTTTTTCGGATATGTGCATCCATTTGACAGGACTTGGTCATTATATTCCACTCCCAAGCATGGATGCTTTAGGAACAGATAGACTTACAGTACAACAAACTTAAGTACGCAAGAGCTGTGATAATTTAAAAACGAATGACGTAATTTGTTTAAGTAGAGTAAAAAATTAAATGAACTTAGGATAACAAACAAATCTAATAAGAACAAGTTAGAATAATCGATTAAAATGAACACAGATTAAGCTGACTAAATGAGGGCATATCTTCAGGCAAATGTATATAATTAGTTTTTTATCTAGGCTTATACGTTGTAAAATCGAGTTTGTTAAATGACAGTTTAAATCGCAATTTGCTTTATTTGGTTTTAATTACATTTACTACAGATTCAATATTTTAATAATTCAAAAAATATTATTCTACGCTATATTGATTCCATGCGCTTGAGAAAGTACTTGTTCTTCTGTCTTTATTCAGTACATCTTATTTTACCAACCCCTACCAGTCTCAATCTCTAGATGTGCCAGTTTTCATTTTTTTAACAAATAATAATATCAGCCTTTTCTTGAGGTAGAAGCAAAAATAATTGAGGGTTTTGTTTGTCATTCAAATATTTGTCTAAAATGGGCATATATTTAGTTAAATCAATCTATTGAAACAATTAATAATTTAAAAAAATAAAAAAAGACTTATGCAAAGATGATGACATGAAATATAGATTTGTTCATCCTGAAAGCATTGCACAATACTTAAATGCCATAAAATAGCGATCAATTTGTTACAAAACCATATAAATTATATATCACTGTAATCACAAAACTTCAATCTTTCAAAATTGTTTTCGGTCAATTCCTGTTTCACCGGAAATGACTACAACTTTTAATTTTTAAATGACACCCTTGGTATTTTGTTATTTTATTCGATTGAAAATGACACTCTGAATAGAATGACATAATATTATAATATGATATGTCATTCTATTCAGTGAATATAATATAATATATATTTTGACTGGAAACACCAAGTGTGTGGTACCAAATTATTCGTAAAAAATGCTTGACTAATGAGCCACCCTCTTTCCATTTGAAAAAATTGAGATATGATTAAAAATATTATTTAGGCATCTTTTAACCGAACAGGACAAGGCACTAAGAACATCAGACTATTTTTCCAAGGCTCTTTAAGTAAAAATTAGTGTTTTTAACACACCCATGGCACTCTAGATTGAAATTTAAAATACAATTTTGTTTTTAAACGAAAATGTCAAAAGTTGACATATGATATGTCCGAGGATATGTCATATTAAGAGTGTCATTTTCTATCAAATAAAGTAAAAATATACCGAAGGTGCCATTTAAAAATCAAAAGTTGTAGTTATTTTTGTTGAAACAGGAAGTGGCCACAAAGAACTGAATACGTCATTCAATCCTAATTTATGTTATATCCCTACTAAGATACTGAAGCTCGTTTCTTTATCTGAAAAAATATAAAAGAATTTTGAGACGCACCCGGTATAAATAATTTGAATTCTAACAAACTCATGGACACCAGTAGAACTCATTTTCAATAAGGTGCATGGTGCATCTGCGGCATGTGTTGGGCTCAGACTTCACAGGAAAATATTAAAGGGGGACCCTAAATTTATCTACACATTTTGACAGCACAAAAGACACCATGAATTTTTATTCAAACAGTACCTAACTTCGGTAACTGCAAATCAACCGGTACCCATAGCCAAAACCAAGATCGGCAAGATCATGCTTATTTATTGTCTATACATATAATCATACGGCATACGGTATTTGGTTATTGTTCAAAGAAGTTTTAGTGATGAAATTTTCAAATATTAATAAGATACTGTTTTGCATTTTTTCGAAATAAAACGTCTTTAGTAGCCAAAATATTCTAAATATCAAGGATATATAAATTATTCAAATTAAGGCCGTTATTTTTAGCTCTGAATAAAAATACCGAAATTTCAAAATCTGTTTCTAATAAAAATGTTAAAATATTACTTTTCCGGCAACATAATATGGTGGAGTAATCAAAATCTATGGCTCGACATTTTAAATTTAAATATTGGGGATAATTTATTGTGATTATATTAAAAACAGCGTTTCTTCTTATAATTGATCATTTAAAATTTCTATCCAAATATTTAAGAAATGGCTGTTGAAAGAAGAAGGAAGTTCTAGAAAAAAAAACTTTAACTAAAAAGTACTATGAAAAGCATTTTCAATATAAATATACAACTGCGCAAGCTCAAACCTCCAGTTGGCTTTTGAAGATTACCTATTATTTTTAGATTGCAGTTTACTGCAACATATAAAACTGACATCCGTAGGAAACCTCAATTTTAACTGCTATTTTAAAGACTAATTCAATCCTATAAAACTGGATCTCAATAGTATAATAAGTATAATATTACTAGCGTGTACCAGCGACTTCGTTCGCGTCGAATTAATCATTTGTAATGGAGATGATAAAACAAAGCAAGAATTTCCATTAACATCCAAACTGGATAAAATTTTCTCACATTTATGTCAGCATGAAAAAAAAACAATATGGCGATATTATTATATAACTTGGTAATATTTGAGGGGTAGTTTCATCTCGTTGGAATTTGACTTTCGAAAAATCCGTTTGCCAAAAATAAGCTTTTTAAGCCAGGCAGTTTAAGCAGAATCGTGGTTAAGAAATTACCCAACTTTTTAGAATACCCTGTATGATTTTTTAAAAAATTTCAAAATATGTAAAAAAAAACATAAATTATGCTTGTGCAAGCATTTTCCCGAAAGACTAACCGTTTTTTAAATAAAAAATATTGTAATATTTGAGGGGCGTTTTCACCCTCTTGGAATCTGAGATTCGAGAAACCCCTCCTTATCGAACCTCTACACCCCACAGTCAATCCGTTTACCAAAAATCAGCTTTAAACGTCAAGCAGTTTAAGCAGAATCGTGATTACTCAATGGTCATATTTTATGAAACACCCTGTATAAATTTATAAAAAATCTTAAAATATGTAAAACAACAAAGTAATATATACGTATTTAAGAGTTTTTCCGAAAAACTCACCGGTTTTTAAATAAAAAATATTTTAATATTTGAGGGATAGTTTCACCCTCTACTCTACACCCTAAAGTCAATCTGTTTTCCAAAAATCAGCTTTTTGCGTCAAGCGCTTTAAGCAGGATCGTGATTAATCAATGATCAGATTTTTTGAAACACCCTGTATACATTTTTAAAAAATCTTAAAATATGTAAAAAAACAAAATAAAATATACGTGTTTAAGCGTTTTTTGGGAAACTTGACCGTTTTTTAAATTAAAAATATTGTAATATTTAAGGGGTGGTTTCACCCTCTTGGAAGTGGAATTTCGAAAAATCCCTTCTTATCGAACCTCTACACCCTAGAATCAACCTGTATGCCAAAATTGAGCTTCTTACGTTGAGTGGTTTGAGCAGGATCGTGATTCTGATTAATCAGTATGTCAGTCACTTAAGGATTTTATATATTAGTATAGATTTAGCATAATTGTAAAGTAATTACTATACCATAAGGTCATACAATTTTTATCATCAAAATGACGTAGAAGTATTCGTCTACGTCATTATACCTAATATTTATATTTTTCTAAAATGGCTTCTTTTATTTAACTATACAAATCGAAATTTCAAAATGTTTATTTATTTAATCTATAAAATGATATCAAAAGCAGTGTAATTAACGATAACGTGAGTGATACTTACATCTGGAAATTAAAAAAATGGAAAGTTGCTTTGATCTAATAATTACGAATAATCTCAGATATACTGATAAAATAATCGTTTAATTATGCAAAAAGTTGTTAGACGAACCAACAAACCATACATTTTTAGCCGACCATACCAACAGGTATGATAACAAAAATATTTTAATATTTTTGTTATCATACAATATGTCTAGTCTTAAGATCGGCAATTTTTTTTTTAATTTCACTCAAAATGAGTTATTTGGGTCATAAATGACCTAAATACAAAATCTTTTCATGGTGTCTGTCTGTCTGTCTGATGTCTGTACGTCTGTCTGTAACACGATAACTCAAAAATCTCTAAACCGATTTTAACCAAATTTGGCACAAAAATACTGTGGCATCCGAGAATCTGGTCCTTAGTTTTTCGTGGGGGTGGAGGGTTGGGAGGGGGGTATGGGAGGGGGTTAAAATTTTAAAAAATCGTAACTCCAAAATTACAGTAGCTAGCTCGGTAGCTAGCGAAATGCGGTTTTCAATTTCAGATTAGGAATAATATTTGCAACAAAATTTGTAATAGCATCAAAATCAGTCAAAGTCGCAGTTTTTGAGATAAAAAAAATTGGAAAAAATCCTTTACTTTGAAACTAAAAGAACTGCCTACCAACTTTTTATTAACATATTTCTATTTGGGCGGCTATATACGTGCCTCCCGGCGCCAGTTTTTTTATAGGCCCTTATGAATACGAGAAATATTTTTTCAGGCTTTAAAAATGATAAAGAAAGTCAGTTTATTATTGTAATACTTTGGAAAAATACCTTCATTTAATTTTTTCAAATTCAAATTTAGAATAAAAATTTAAAAATTAAAAATAACATTAGTTGCAATAAAATGATGATCAAATCGACTATTAAATCTGTAGGTAATTTATTATCTAGCAGTTTGTTGCATGTTGCAATTTGTTACCACCAATAGTGTCATCATGTTTTAATTTGTTTAATTTACGCATTTTTGGTACAAGACGAACTTTGGTACGCAAAGACGCATTTTTGGTATGTGAAAGAACAAAACTGAGAAAGAAAATTAATCTAATAATACTTATAACTAAATAAAACTAATAAATTAAAAATAAAAACCAGATTTTGCAATATGAAGATAGAGTTCCGAAAATATTGTATGAAAATATTCAAAAAAATTCACCCTATAGAAGTTATTGTGTGGAGGGTTGAATAAAAAACATTCCCCATAAGATTACATTTATTGGGGCCTCGAGATATATATTTAAATCAGAAATTTTAGCATAGAAAATGTTACAAGTAAAAAGAATTATTGCAAAGAGATTTACCGGGAGCTTTACGTTCGAAATGTTCTCTGTTAGTACCTACATACACATACATGCACAGGGTGACTCTTTAAAAATCGCTACTACCAACCGTTCTCAAGATATTTCGTCGGTACCTGTATAAAACTTCTGATTAAAAAATATACATTTATCACGTTTTTTTTAAGCAATCTTGGTAAAAGTCGCTACGAGTAATGATTCTCGAGATATTTGGAATCGAAATTATCAGTACCTGTCATCATTGACATAAATTAAACATATTGACTAAATAGTTATTAAACTGAAATCATAAATTTGAAATGTTTTTTGTGCCAAAAGTTTAACAGAAACTCTTTTCTCATCATTTTTTTGCAGAAAAATTTATGGTTAATTTGAAAAATTAAAATATCACAAAAAATAAATATTTCCGAATTATTTCAGTTAAATAACTATAGATACCCACCATTGGTGTAGATATACTCAACGTGTTATTTTTTGTCAATAATGACATATATTGACTATTTCCGTTCTAAATATCTTGAGAAACGGTTGATCGTAGATTTTTACCAAGAGACATTTTTTACGTAAAAAGTCACGAAAATGTATATTTTTACTCAGTAGTTTTATACAGGTTCGGACTAAAAATTATTACGCTTCAAAACAGTTAAAACACATGTAGGTGGCGCCCCCTACAGATAGAAGTGATATTGACATCAAAATCGAGTTTCTCATGTCAAAAAACTCCCAGACACCA